CTTTAGCAAAACAACTGAAACAAAACCACACAGTATGTAGGGTTATAATATGTTTTAGAGGAATGGTATTAATCCTTAATAGTGGTATTTCCAATTGCATGATTTTATTCAAACCTTTTGTAAAAATAATAGCATGATTTGTATGGAATTTGGGATAAATATCGCTTCGCTAGTGAAATTTTGTTTGACAATTTTGAAATATCACGCGTGGAATTTATCCCAAATAGCACTTGCAAAACATGATATTACCTATAATAATATGATAAGGATTACATGGAAGATATATTATAAACTTTTGGTAATGTCCACAATTTTCGACCTAAATAGACTCATTCTACATAGCTGATGGGTGTAGTGAACACTTAATCCCCACCCCCACCCCCACCAAACCCTCACATCCCCTTCACCGCGAGACCTAAAGTTAAATCCTCATAATTTATCGACGTTTGGAAACATTGTTCGTTTTTAAAAGGATAACGAATGTTACACTGCCACAATACCATTCACTCAACCTCCTCGTCACCAGATCCTTATCGCAGGCATTAAACGAAGGTTAACGGACTGGTGACGAGGTTGACATTTAGTTCACATTGTTTCACGGCTTTATAACCCCGGCTTTATTATTTCACAGGTTTTCAGTCCTTCTGACAGAGCAGGCATGCTGTTGGATATTTACCAGTTTTTAAGGTCAATCATCATTCTCTAGTCTAAAACAGTAAAATGACTCACAAAAAATCGCGCGCTTTAAAGGTTGTATTTAAATTTGATGTAAATGATGTAAGTGTCCAAAATTCTGTAAATTTAATGGTAATCATTTGCATCAAATTTATTTGTGATCCATAGTGATGAAGTAAGCTATTTAACTCTTTTCACCRTAATTGAGTACATGGCTAACGARACAGAATACGTTCCTTGGAGGGTGCTATTTGATCAAGCTAGGACAATATTTGGACATCTTCGCGTGTTTAGCCGAGCTTATAAATACTTCTTGGTAAGCCAAATAAAAAAACAYGAAAGAGGACGTACGCCTGTGAACAATTTAAGAAATTATAGAGCGAGTCACTGAATCGTAATTGATAAATATACTTGTTTGCTTTTAGAAATATCTTATTTTTCTTGGTAAAAAGCAATATGAACGCCTTGGATTTCAAGATACAGGAACAGGCGTTGACAAGTAGGAGATAATGATTAGTTGGTTGGTTGGTTGGTCGGTCGGTCGGTCGGTTTGTTGGTTGGTGGGTCGGTTGGTCAGACAGTTGGTTTGTTGATTAAAGTCAGAAATTGTGATATAAATAGATAAATTAAGGAAATGACGTCTGAACGAGGGCTGTTCTGAAAAACAGCTAGAGCAGTGTTCATCTATACGCAATTTCATTTTCTACAGGCCTAAATCTATCAAAATTTTCTTGTGCTAGGCAACCCTTTTGTAACGTTCTGGAATCATTCACCCGCTGAACTATTTTATTCATCTATAACTGCAAGACAATCTGTTTTTTTGTACAGAGTTGCGCGTCAATTCTTTCTTGAATTGTTCTGCGAAGCRAACGTCAAAACATGCACAACAAAAGCATATCAGCTCTTTAGAGCTTGGATGAAAGATCCGACGAAAAACGCGTAAGTTTGATTGGTAAAAATTATTATCATTAGTCCCCTTATAACTTCCCGCGCATGCACCTTGGTTAGCCGCGCGTCTAGACGACCGACGAACCTGCATGCGAAAGATGGCTTTCAATAACCTTTCAAGATGGCGCAAAGAACTACGAAGAATTTTTCCTACAACTGTGTACGGCATAAAATGTTAAAAACTCACATTTTTCTTCTCTCAGTATTCCACCTAATCTTCGGAAAGTAGTTTATTTTTACGGTATATCTGAGGGTGGTGTAGAAGAGTGGGAATTCTTGTACAGCCAGTACAATGAAACTCAAAATCAAGAAAACAAAGAAGCCATATCGCACGGCTTAGCTGCTTCAAAGGAACCRTGGATTATAGAGAGGTAAGAAAGTTTAACTGCTAGAACTTCCGGAAAACACGCATTTCTTCATGGAGATACTCTATTTTTCCCGAGTTTTTAAGTTGACGCGCGTACCATTTGCA